GAGTTCTCTTTGTTATTTTCATATGGACATCTATTAAGGTTTTACAGTGGAGAGTTGAAGTGTATATGCATTAGCTTTCTTGCGTGGCAGATTAACAGCGGGTTAGGAAATGGGAACTGCATGGTGGTGGTGTAATATTTCTTTTGTCTTTTAAACCTATGACACGATGAAATAGAATGAAGGAGAGAATGCGGAAGTTGATAACAAAAAAATGAGAAGAAGCGAAAACTCCTGTTTGTAGTCATTCACAGGGTTCGTGCTGATTCAAATTCAATTTTTTCACTTAAGAGAGAAGTAAAAAGCCTTCATTTTCTTTTCATTGTACAAGAACGATTAAAAAAAATAAAAATCATAAGGCTACGTTCAATTGTTAAGGTATTATATCTCACATCGAATGATGATGGAAATAAATACCAATTTATGAAGGATTGGATTTCTCCATTTAATAAGGTTGACCTTGTTAAGATGGATCCCAAACTTTAAAATGGTATTAGAGCCAATCCATGAATTTCAAGATTGGTGTGATCAAGTGAGCCACCATCTTGAAAGGTTCTGTTAAAGTATTATATCCCACATCGAATGATGATGGAAATAAATACCAATTTATAAAGGATTGAGTTTCTTCATTTAGTAAGGTTGACTTTATTAAGATGGACCCCAAACTTTAAAATTTTAGAGAAGGTTGGTTAGTTCTATTTAACAAGGGTTAAATTATCAAATTTTATACCACTTCATAAGTTGGTTGTTTTTGGCTTTGAGCAATAACTTAATGTTATGTTGCAGCTTTCACAAAATGAGATTCTGAATGTGATTTTGAGGTTATAATTTCTGGAAAAATAAAAATTATAGTAGGTTAAGTTTTGGGTTATAATCAGAAAAATAATTCCGTTGACATACATAAACATTAAATTGTGACAGCGAACACAACTTGTGACTCTATTTCCATGGAAATTTTCTGGGTTTTTATTGAAGGACTTTCACTCAGATCCCAGGAGCTAACAGCCAAATTTTTTGGCTGTTAGACTGTGTTGCAGTTTTGTAATGGAATTTGATATACATACGTTGCTCGACTTGGCTACCCTGGCTACAACCTTATGGGTTATTTATATGATTCTAGACTGAGGTCAAGTTACATGGAGGATGACGACAATTTTGCATTATATCATGTGGTGAGTGTTCAACAGCATTGATGCAATCTTTTCTTCTTTCTTTTCCATTTGGGTTTGATTTTACGTAATTAATATCTTAATTTTCAAAATATTTTTTGGGACATGGTTTGATACGGGGAGTGAGGGAAGCACCTCATATGCTATTTAAAATTTGATTTTTTGATAAAGTGAATTTTTATATATGAGGTTTTCAGTGTAAAAACGCCTTTAAGTGATTCGATTACTAGCAGCCAGCCATACTATTAGGTTTTCCCCATTCTTTGTGAATTTTTTTGCACAATTAGTCTGAACCCTATAATATGTAGCAAATACATCCTCTACCTTTAACATCAGATCTTTGAATCCCCAACCTTTACTACTATTGGCATAGTTCCTTTTTACATAATTCTGTCAACTTTCCTTTTTGGCCTGACCACCAAACTCAAGATCACTCTGGCTTCACCAGTTATCAGCTTTACACTTGTACGTGCATGATGAAAGCTATTGACTACGTAAGCACGTATCAAATACCTTTATTGTAAAAGAATTGTAATGAAGAGAACACAGGAGAGAGAAGAAGGGAAGAGAAAAAGATT